TTCCTCTAAACTTAAGCATGTAAGCTAATAAAATGAGTTGGCAGGTGCTGAGAACATGAGTGAACGCATCGTATCTGCCCTGGTTTCAAAATGCGCCTCATTACCTGTATCCTGCCTGCTCTGCCTTTTCCAGAGGGCGAACTGTTTGTCCCCATCTGTGGCAAAGTGTGGTTTTCTACTGCTGAAGGCTCTACTTTTTACACGGCATGAGGGTGGAAGCTGGTGATCTCATATCCGTATGTTTATAACGTGTCAGTTGGGAGCCCTGGAGGATTCTGTAGTCTTTGAAGTCATGTGGGAAGTAGCAGATCTTGTCTGGAAAGCACGCTCCAGATCAAGAGTCTTACAAAAAGTATTAGAGGCATGTGGGGTGGATGTTGGAAAATCCAGTGAGAGGGCATGTACCTTGTCCTAAAGCAATGCTTGTGGAGCTGCTTTGAGAGACTGAGTTCCTGTTTCTGTAGAGGGAGGCATGAGATCACCCATCCCAACAGAAAATTGGGCTTTCTTGTAGGTCTCTTCTTAACAGAAGGAAAAAGGAATTTAGGGCTGAACACCCTCTGTTTGTGAGGGTGTTGATCCATCCCCCAAACATTTGCAGTTTGATTTCTAGCCTATAATGCGTCCTTCGTGAATCAAAACTGCACACAGGTGTGGATCAGGTCTCCTGAAATCGATGTGAAGAAAGGGGGATTCATTTCCAGTTTCAGTTGGGACAGACTTTCTGAAATGGTGCCACAGCCCAGGACTTTGACAGCTCTTGGTCTTACCTTGAAAGGGTCTCCAGAGTATCTCAAGTAGGTCAAAGATTTCCAGTGCAAGGGAAGCAAGCTTTCTTGAAGGGTAGGAATAAGCATTGCTTTGGCTTCTTCATACCAGTCTTCTGTTTGCATTGGCCTACTGCTGCTTTCAGACCGAAGGACTTCGCTGAGGAGTCTGGATGGCTGTGAGCAATGTCGCTGTGCCATAATGAGTGCTTGGTAAGTGATTAAACCTCCGTCATGCTAAACTCTGCTACTGATCACAGTGTGAATGGCAGCTGCCTTCAACACCACCTAGAGCTGGTTTGTAGCTCTGGCTCTGTGATTTTATCAATGGAGGTGAGGTCGTGATTTTGATCTTGGGTCCCAAGTGTTCTGAAGTGTGTAGGATACAGTTGGTTTGGGGTTTTTACTTAGTAATTTCCTTTCAAGCCTGTATCTTTCATTAAACAACTGTTCCCTTGCCTCCAACTATATTGCAGTGAAATGAATACTGGAATTGAACTGAGTCACTGTTAGGGAAATATCTTCATGCAGCTTTGTTTAAATGGAAGTAACTTTCGGGAGCAATCTTGCTGAGTGGGTGGAAAGGTAGGAAGGAAAATCATTATGAAGAGGTTTGAATCGTGGCAGGAAATAGTCATTCCGAGTAGTCTTTAAATATTAATGCAGCTGACTTCAAATTACAGTCCTATCTTCATTCTTTTGCCACTCCTCTGCCAAAGCCAAGCGTTGTGTTAGTCCTCAAAAGCCATGCTTGATGCCGTATTTACTACAGCTTGTTTTAGCATACAGGTACAATAGTGAAAGTTCTTTGTGCTGTTTGGTGTACCGACAGCTGGGACCTGCTCATAGGGCTGGCCATAACAAAGGGATTCTCAAATGTTTGGTTCGCTCATTCGTTGCTGATCTGAGTTCCTGTTTGTTGAAGGCTTTCAGCAGAGGGAGAGGATGGTCAGTGTTTGCAGACTGTCAGGCGTAACTTTTCCATCCTTCTCCCTGGAGAGACCTTATACAGATGAGGAACAGGGGAAGGATGGAGGCTGAGTGGCTTGTAACCATTAACATCTTATTTCACTAGCCAGGAGTGATGTGGTGGAGCTCTGCACTTCGCCTGCCTGAGAAGAATAGTTACTTGTCCCATCTGAGGTGCACTGAGTGAGATGGTGGAAGTGTCAAACCCACCAGTGTATTTTGATGTCAGATCTGAAACTCGGCACACGGGGCTTGAGCTGATTTCAGACTTTAGTCTGGAGGAGGGGAAAGTTATATTGAGGTTCAGGAGGACTTGTGCTCTCAGGAGGGTTGGAGCCCTCAGAGGAATGATGTACTTGTGCCATCATCAAGCACTGCAGAGCACCACCTGCCCTGTGATCAAGGCCAGCTCGTATCAGTGATTTGAAGCATGTTGAGTGATGAGCACCTTTACCTTTTAGTGGCTTTCATCTCCATTTTATCACAGCTGGTAAAACGCTTCTCTGTAACAATGCTTGTGCCAGCAGGTAGCCAAACAACTTTGGAAAGATCCTCACCTAGGCACCAGCTTCTACTGCAAAACCACCTCACTGCGTGGATCCACCTGCTCTGCAGGGCGAAGGCTGGTAGCACTTCATGGCAGGAGGAAGGTTCAACTGCTTCTGGCGTCACACAGGAAGGCAGTAGTGTGTTCTTAACAGCCACTCTATTCCCAATCTGCCTCGTGTGGTTTAAAAACCTTTTCTGGTGGTTTTAGCTTATGTTGACTCTTGTGCTCTCTACTGGCCATGGAACTGTGAGCTGAATGAGCGAGAAAAACCAAAACCTGTTTGCAGCTTTTTAAAAAGCTTTATAAAAACTGCAGCATTTCTCTTTCCTCTGCTGTAATCAGTCCCTCTCAGGCAGAGTTTTGCCTCTTTTGTTTGAACCCCTCCTCTGGGGACGGGTTGGGGTCCAACCAAAGTGCTTTTTCTCATACCTGATAAAGTTATCATCATTGCTTCTACAAGCTGGTTTCACAAAGCAAATCCAACCGTGCTTGTGTCTATGCAAACAACTTTGAGAAGCAGCACTAGTTCACCCCTCCAAAACAAACGCTGCAGCTGAAAGTCTGTTGGGATGCCTATGGTGAAAAACCAGTTCATCCTGTTTACCTCTAATGGATGCTTCCTGCTTATTCATATTCTGTTTTAAGTATTAAATCTTGAATTAAGTTGAGGGACAATTAAAGCTTGGTAATGCTAAATACTGAATTCCTTGTATGTGAAAGTCTCCAACTCTGTCTCCAGCTAGGCCATTGAATGGCATTTCACACATTGCTTAGTACCATGTTTGGAGGTTGACACTGCGGTTTCTGGGCCAGTACGGCCAAACTGGTATTATGGACATGACACACTGGTTCTCAGATGACCTGATGATTTTCAAACTCCTGGGTTTGCTGCCAGTGCGCTGTATGACATTCTCTGCTGAGCCCCACCTTTGTGCAGAGCGACAACAAGAATTCATCTGCTTTCCCTTCTGGAGAAAAGGGCTTCTGAGTCACGGGCTGGATGACATGTCCTGTGGGCTGTAACCTGTGCAACCCGAGCTGGGTTCGAAGCGTTGGTATAAAGCGTTGAAGTTGGGTGGGACTGTGGGATTACGTTGCATGAAGCATCTATTCGCATGTATGGATGTTTCTTTATGCTATTATTAGTTCCTCAGGTTCTTCCTAATACATGCATCATCCTTCCTGTGAAGATGGAGTCTGAGAGAGTCCTGCAAACTCTCTGGCTGATGCAGAAGCCTGCAGTAATAAATGAACAAAAGCAGTGAAAAATAATTGTAGTGGTGTTAAAGTTGTGCATACTGGGCTGGTTCAGCCTGGAGAAGAGAAGACTCCTGAAGGGGAGACCTTAGAGCAGCTCCAGTGCCTAAAGGGGCTACAGGAAACCTGGAGAGGGGCTTGGGACAAGGGCCTGTAGGGCCAGGCCAAGGGGAATGGCTTGAACCTGCCCGAGGGGAGACTGAGCTGAGCTCTTAGGCAGAAGCTCTTCCCTGTGAGGGTGCTGAGGCGCTGGCACAGGGTGCCCAGAGAAGCTGTGCCTGCCCCATCCCTGGCAGTGTTCAAGGCCAGGCTGGACACAGGGGCTTGGAACAAGCTGCTCTAGGGGAAGGGGTCCCTGCCCATGGCAGGGGTTTGGAATTGGATGCATTTTAAGCTGCCTTCAGTCCAAGCCGTCCTGTGATCCTTTGACCTAGGAGAGGTCTCATGGTGAGATGTCAGTTTGCCCTGTGCTCCCTGGACTGCACATGTGGAGCAGGACCCAGGAGGGTCTATACAGTTCCTGCCTGTCTCTTTTGGGATGGTCCTGGGTACAGGGGCACCGCTTGGCCTGTATGGGTTAAGAAGCATCTATTTCTTACCCTCTTTTGACAGAGTTAGCAGACTGATGCTTGTGAGATGCACCAGTTCACTGTCTGGAGTTGTCCAGGGTTGCCTGCCATTGGTTATGGTGGTGACAAGTTTTGACATGCAGGAGGAAGGTGCACTGTGGGACAACAGTCTGGCTTTCATTTGTCAGTCATCAGTGCAGGCTGCTGGAGAAGATCTTGGCCCTTGAATCCCTCACCCAATTCCATTAGACAGTCTATTTTCCCAAAGCTTCATTTTCTTTGGGAAGTAAATCGTGTTGGTGACATGAACTGTGTGTTGATACAACTGTCAGGAAATCTCCTGTTCTTTTAAAAGTAATAAATCTTGCCTTGCCTGCTGCTTTTGGTCACTTCTGTAAGACAGCGGTTTTAGCCAGCAGCTATATCTGAGGTCAACTTTAAAAGATGGAAAATGAAGGAAAATTCAGTATTTTCTTCTCCTGATACCATTAATTTCCCACTTCCTTTTTTTTTGTCTGGCTTTTGTGTAATACTTTATAAATGCATGAAGTGAGAAGAGAAGAGACTTTGCACTCCACAGCTGCTTTAAAGCTGGGATGTGAGCTTGCATTTTCCACCTGGCATGCTGGTGTAATTGAAATTGCCTTTGTTAGTGTGTGTGGTGGGAGTCCCAGTAACTCCAGTAGCAGGCAGTGGATGGGCAGCATTTGTCTCTCTTAGTCAGTTTGTGGATTTTTATCAGAAAGTTAAGGTAATGGTGGAGTTTCCATTTAGCTGTGAATTTCCTCGAGGCCAGGAGCATTCTGGACATTCACCTCTGTCTATGTTTCTTGCTGGGTAGTTTAAAATAATGATTTTTACTTCATATATCCTTTTTCTTTCCCCCAGGTAAGAAACCAAAAGCAACCTGCCTTTATCGAGTTCTCAAGAACATAATCGACACCTTGGTACATTATCAAGATGCATTAAGGAACTGGATACAGTGCCAAAAGAGCTCCATGCGTTTCCATGACTCTCTTGAACCCTGACTCAGATACTTTTGGATATATATTTCTGTTCTAAGGAGAAGAGTGTGTATTCCAACTCCTTTCTGCCAGCTTGCTGGCAGAGAGATTTCACTAAGATCATGGACCATCCTAATAGGGAAAAGGATGAAAGGCAGCGGACGACAAAAGGAATGCCGGGAAGGAGTGGGCATGGTTCTCGACCAAGCTCATCGGCATCTTCTGGCGTTCTGATGGTGGGACCCAACTTCAGAGTGGGCAAGAAGATTGGGTGTGGGAACTTTGGAGAGCTCAGACTAGGTAAGAAGTAACCGTTTTAGTCACCTGCGTTCTGCATTTAGCATTTCACCACTGGAATATAAATACATCAAAACTTAATCCTGGCTTGAGAAATGCGCGTGCTTGTCTTGTTTCCTGAGTGCTGAGCTGCCTTACCTGAAGCTTCTGACTCAGAAGATGTAACTGTTAGCATTATTTTTATTTGCATAAAGCCAAAGTGAATACACTGGAGAGGCCAAAGATGCAAATTTTGAACAATCCCAACTATGAAGACTGTTCTCAGCGCTGAATGTCTTGCCTAAGGTGAACAAAAATCTTAACTTCATGGATTGCTAACTCTTGTGATTAATGTCCTGTTCATAAGCTGGGATGCTCAATCAAAGTAATGGGTGAGACGCTTTCCCAGCACTCGGCCACATCTCTATTCCACATCCTTCACTAACCTCTGTGCCCTACTTTCAGCCTCATCACCCACTCCCTGATCAGTTCCATGTGTGAGGTACTGACTGGCCATCTGGCTGCTGAACTGGCCCCACAGCCCAGTGTGGGCCATTGGTGTTCCAAACCACACGCCTTGCAGCTGGTCACCCACAGATGGCCACGCTAATGCATCTCTTGTTTAGGACGGCTTAAGAGCAGCGCAGTGTGTTGGGCTCTTCAGTTATCCTAAACAAACAATGGCTGTGTTTGAAATGAGGTAGGGGAAGCAGCTGCTGGTAATTGCACATCCCTGAACTCCCAGTATGGGGCAGTTGCTGTAGATCAGAAGGAGCACTTTGTAGTGGTCTTGATCCTGACTTAAAATGGTTGTATTTCTCCTCTTCTGCTGAATAATTTGTGTTGCTGAAGATGGGTTCACTGACACAATCACTGCTTTCCCAAAACTTGATACTTATTCAGAACTGAAATTAAAATCATTTGTGCATCAGGTACAAGGGATGATAAATAAATCAGTCAAGGAATTGCTTGTAACCAAAGGGTTATAACACTTAACTACTGGTACTATCTTGGGAGATTCCTGTGAGAATCTACGTAACCTTACATTAATACATGTAGTCTTTCATTCTAAGGTTTGGTTATTGCATCTATATGATATGCCACTTCCCCACGGTGTGAAGATTAACCAGCTTGGGTGTGATCTGCCTCAGTAAAGGGCAGTTTGGTTTCAGCATTACATCAGAGATGCTTTATTGATTTGCAGGAGGAGAGATAATGCTCCAAGGTGGAGAGGAACCAAGGGCTGGGGCAAAACCTCCCACCTGCATGAACATGATCATGATTGGCAGCTGAAGATAAGCTTGGATCCTGACAGTGACATGACATGAATAGCTGTATTGCATTTTCAGAGCCTCCCCCAAGAGCAAACATCACACTAGCAGGATCCCCATGGAGATGTTGAATTGCTTTTTAACCCAAGCTCTTGCTCTGAGGTTCAGTGGCTGTAGTGGACCTCTCCAGTTATTATGGCTCTTGCATTTATTCAGCTGGTGTCCCTTTTCCATCATTCTTCTTTGTCAAGTTTCTCACCATTTCAGCGGTGTTCTGTCTCCAACTGAGGTTGTCTCAACACACAGGCTGTACAGGAGAGACTTTCAGAAGAAAATGTCAGTTTACAGAGAAGTTCAGTTTCAACTATTGAAAAAGCAACACCTGGTAATCAAGTGCCTCTTTTTCAGTACAGTGATAAATGTTTTGTTACTCCTGGTTAAATGTTTTGTTGCTCCTAGCTAAGTGCACACTGTATGCAGGTAGTGATCAGAGGGTGTCTTATGAAGACAGGCTGAGAGTGCTGGGTTATTTCAGCCTCGAGAGGGCTCTAGGGAGACCTGATAACAGTTTTCCAATGCCTAAAGAGGGTCCTACAGGAAAGATGGGGAAGGACTTTTTATAAGATCAAAGAGTGACAGGACAAAGGGTAGTAGGCTCAGACTTAAACAGGGGAGATTTATGTTGAACATAAGGAAGTTCTTCCCTGTGAGGGTGCTGAGGCGCTGGCACAGGGTGCCCAGAGAAGCTGTGGCTGCCCCATCCCTGGCAGTGCTCAAGGCCAGGTTGGACACAGGGGCTTGGAGCAAGCTGCTCCAGTGGAAGGGGTCCCTGCCTGTGGCAGGGGTTGGAGCTGGAGGAGCTTTAAGGTCCCTTCAATCCAACTCAAACCAGTCTGGGATTCTGCGCATGGGACGTACGTAGGGATAACAGCAACTGGGTGGAAGGCCCTTACAGAAGCTGTGTTACTTTTTTAAACTTGTATTGTTTTATTGCCAGTCACTGCAGCTTGAAGAGCTCCTCTTTGCTCAAATACCACCTGTATCTATTGCTCAGATGTGACGCTAATTCTCACTGGTGGGAAGGAGAAGCAGTGTGCCTGAAATACGGGCAAGCAAGTCTCTGAGAACAATGTTGTCCTGCAAAGCTGAACACATGCCCTCTGCTTTGGGGCTTTTTCTACATCGTTTTGGGAAAGTTAAGCACCAGTGAATGGTTCAGTAACACATGAAGAGCGAAGTCTTGTTCTTGTACCACATGCCAGACAGAGGACTGATTGTTCAGGGAGGAGATGGCATGTACCTACAGAAGCTGTTTTCTGCCAATACCAAGCTTGCTGCTGAGTGTTGTTCTTTCTGCTGCTCATACAGATAGCCCTGGGGATGTCGCTTTTTGGAAGCGCATGGGAGCAGCGCAGTTGCATTCCAGCCTGCAGAGGAGCTGGAATGGAAGGATGAGCACAAAACTCAGCCTCTGGCCCAGAGTAATAAGATGAAACAGGGTTAACTGAGTGCTGGTTCTTCATACAGGCTGCAGATTAGGTGGTCTGTAAGAGCTTTGATGTCTGAAGGGGCTCAACCTACTAGCAGGGGACCCTGCTTGCTGTCCCTGAGCTGGACTCCAAGCACTGACAGGGTTTCATTGTCTTGGTGCAGCACCAAACCCTGTCCTGCAGCTCCTGGTTATTTGCCAAGTCAGTTCTTGTGCTGCCATGGGAGCTGGAGCACACCTGAAGTTTTATAGCCATTATGAGGTCCTGCATCTGCCTGCCAAGCTGATGGAGAACCCGTGTGACGTAAACCAGCCTGGGAAACAGCTCGGTGAGCTGTGGAACCGTGTGGTGCCAGGAGGTGCTCACTGCAAAGGGAAATGGGATGTACCTGTTAAATCTAGGGCTGTCGTAAGCTGTGTCTGTAAACTTCAGTGTAGAAAAGAGATCACCAGCTGAGCTGTGAGCCACCTCCTTACACTGACTCACGGACATCCCGTGGGTATTACCTATATTTACCTGAAATCCACGAGCCATGCTAGGGAGAAATAAGCCTCTCCAAAAGTCTCGCTTTTCCCAGTGTTTGGCACCATTACTTAGTAAACCTATTAAGTTGTATAAAGCCAGGTTGGGCAGGGCTTGGAGCAAACTGGTCTAATGGAAGGTGTCCCTGTCTGTGGCAGGGGGCTGGAACTGGGTGAGCTTTAAGGTCCCTTCAGCTCAAACCAGTCTGGGATTCTGTGATTTTCATAGAAGTGTGTTCAAGTATCATTTATAAATGATGATTCCATTTTTTTTCCCCGGAGTGGATGGGAAGAATACCACATTGGGAGGGATGGATCCTGTATGTTGCTTCTATCCTCCCTTGATAGTGCACCAAAGGGATTTTTTGGAGAAGTCTATGTCTTCATGTGCTGTCAAATACATTGTATAGTGTGCACAAGCCACATGTCAGCATGATTCGTGTGGGCTCTCATGACAATCCAACACATCTTGGCAGTGAGCAGCAAGACCCAAACTGGAAGGAAAGCTGCTTATGGCAGGGCCAGAGCAGGTCCAGCAGATCTCAAAGTTGACCCCCAAAACTGAGACCCACCCAGCTGGCTCCCAGGCTGCTCTGCAAAGCAGAGCTCTGCTTTGAAGCAAATGGAAACGGTAGTAAATGAATCAAGATGATAATAGTATCTGATAGTGGGGCTGGGCTGGTCTCTGCCTCCCAAATAATGAAATCATCTTGTGAATATCTGAGTAGAATATTGTAGATGCGGAGGGTAGGAGTAGATCCTGTGTAGGTTCTACATTAGGATCTGTTATGGGGGGACACTTGCTCTAGAAGGGACAGCAAATGGGGCACTAATGCAGTGGTGTGTGGGGTGAACTCTGCTTGGTCTTTGGGATGAGTATTTGGATGTTTGCTCCAATACCCAGCACCTATCTGACCTATCTGTCATCAGAGTGTATTGTCCATGTAGCAAGGAGCTAGAAGTAAGGCTCAAAGCATTTTTTGGTTCATGTTGCTCACTATAGGCTTGTACTTGTGACTTTTAACTTAGACCTGTGGGAACAGCGCACATGAGAGATCGACCCCTTTGGGCTCCTCGGCTGGGCTGCAGTCTGTCCCTATATTCAGAACATCTGACTGCCAGGGCTTGAGAAATCCACCCTGTTAGGTTTCCCACGTGAATGCTGGTGACTTAATGCAGCACTTCTCATATGTATATGTAGTTCATAATTGTCAGTGGAACTACCCAAAACTGAGGCATGAACTTAATCACTGCTCCATCAAAAGCTTTGCCTGAACTTGAAAGGCTTTTGTTAGCACAGTTATATCATCTCCGCTGGATTACAGATCTTGTGTCTTACTAAGATAAGAGACAGCTTCTATTCATGGCTTACTGCAGGTTCACTTTCTCCTGTGAGTAGCACTGCCTTTACTCTTCCATTTTAATATCGGTGCTGCCTTGTAGAAAGTGGAAGAAGAAACATTGCACCTTGGATGGTGTCACAGCAAAACCAAGGGGTAGATCTCAGTCTGGAGCAAGCTGAGGGAGAGATTTCAGAGTTGCTTGGCTCTCGTAGCTGGCAAAGCAAATATCTCGTGCTGCAGCTTTAGGAGGGGTTTGGAGGTCAGCAGCTGGACCCATTTGCACCCCCCCCCCCCATGCTCAGTCTCGCCATAGTTTGTGCTCTGGAGGGGATGAACTGGAGGTTAGTTCATTTGCCTTTGGCTGCTGGCCTGATGTTTCATGCTCCTGTGTTTTCCTAATCCCAGGTTTTTTAACTGAGGAATTTAATAACCAAAATTATCTTTTGTCTAGTACTCAGCCTTATGAACCAGACCGTAATAGACTGGACTATGGCTCCGTATATAGGGAGGGTGTTGGCAGTGTCCTCTGCCTTGAAATGAGCTTGGAAGAGCCCTGTTTTCCCAGTACCATGATCCTGCATTGGCAGGAGAGCACAAGTGTTGCCAGAAGGTCTGTGGGTCATCACTCCTTTGATGGACACTGAGCCCCAAAACTACCTTGCAATCACGTGTCACCGAGGCTGTGATGGAGGCTGTGGGGTCTGCAGGGGGTGGCAGGGGCTTTTGCTGTTTAAAGCATCTCTGTCACAGATTTGGGCTGGAGCTTCCCTTAGTGTCTGGCTCAGTGTCCTCAAACCAAGCATCTTGGTAGGAGCTTGGTCTCTCTGGAGAGGAGGGGAATGGGGAGCTCATTGGGCGAGCTGCAGCTGGAGCTGCTGCAGTGACTGACTGGCTAATACAAGGTACATAATCTCAGTGTATTTAGGTTGCCTTCCCCTCATGGCCTTGTGTGCTCTTCGCACACCAGCCATTGGACAGCATCAGGCTGGAGCCCTTGTCTGTCTCAAAGGGTGAAGCAGTTTATCTCACCACCTGGTTTTCCACCCATTTGGCCTTTCAGGAGCTTTCCAGTGTCTGAGTGTTCTTGACATGACTGCGAACCTTCCTTTCTACCATTCCCTTCCGGCCTGGACACAGGAGCTGTTATTCAGAGATCTAAAGAAATCGATTCACACAGCCCTGTATTGCAAGGGTTATGGCTGGAGCTCAGCTTACACATCTGCTTGCATAAAACACTTCCTCCAAGGATATTTAACCTCACATTTAAATGCCGGCCCTGTGTTAAACAGCACTGCCAGTTACTGTAAGTGGTTGAAGTTTTCCATACACCTGATTTCCCGATGGATGTTATAGCAACCTGGTCCGTGTGGGACCTGCGCTGTTAGTGCCTGATCTGAAGTTCAGAGGCCAGAACTACGCTGAGCAATACAGTGGGGAAGGTGTCAAAAGAAGTTAAATGCAGAAAATATGAAGGTGTTACAAGGTAAAATGAACTTCCCTGGACATTTCAAGCTTTAAAGGTGGCTGTTTGTCTTCTCTCATGTTCTAACGGCTTTAATTTTGCTGAATCTTCCAGTGCTGTTGCATTGTATCTGTGTGGAAAGGACGATGTGATGTGCTTTTGAATAGTGGTGCGTGGAAAGTAAATGTGAGATAGAGCTGGACAAAGCTGATGCCATAAATGAGCATTAATAACTCCCAGTTTAGATTGCTACAGTCACTCAGTGAGAGCATGACTTGTGCTGTAGTGCTGCTTGCAGGAATAAGCAAAGAAGGTCAGTATTGCCCTGTATAAAACCATGGGGGTCTCTGGTGAAGGCTGCTGTCCTCAGAGGATACAGGGGACTAGGGGAGATAGAAAGGTAGCAAAGACTGTACAACTTCTTATAACACAAGCAGTGATAGGACAGGCCAAGGGGAATGGCTTGAACCTGCCAGAGGGGAGACTGAGCTGAGCTCTTAGGCAGAAGCTCTTCCCTGTGAGGGTGCTGAGGCGCTGGCACAGGGTACCCAGAGAAGCTGTGGCTGCCCCATCCCTGGCAGTGTTCAAGGCCAGGTTGGACACAGGGGCTTGGAGCAAGCTGCTCCAGTGGAAGGGGTCCCTGCCCGTGGCACAGGTTTGGAATTGGATGAGCTTCAACCCAAGCCAGTGTGGGATTCTGTGATGGGACAGATCAGATGCACGGACTGCCTGAGCATCCTTCCCTGGTGATCTCTCTTCTGGATAGTGCACTGTCAGTCCTGAGCAATATGGAGGTGAGGAGGGAGTGATTGATTAAATTTCGCATTAGAAACCTGAAGGACATTGACTGAAACAACAACTGGCAGCTTCCGAACACACGGAGAGATGGTTCTTGACATGTGTAGCTGTGAATCTTTGCCACAAATTGCTAAGGAGGTGAAGGGCTTGGTTCAAACACCAGATGGGTTCCTGGGGGGAAAATTCACCTCCAGCTGCAGCACACACAGGCACCAGCTCTGGCTCAGTCATCGAGCCATGGTATAGCTACAGGAGCTGGTTGTGTGCATGCCTGGTTGTACTCGTCATAGGCTTTTGCCCTTTGTGCTCACCAGAGTTGGTATCAGACTAGACACTGCTCCATATTTCAGGGTCCTGAGAACCACTCTTGTTCTTGGAGTGTATTTTTTAACATCATTGGTACCATATTGGAACTGAGAGTTGTTGGCTTTATTGGATGATGAGGATTGCCTTTGTGCTGCTGGCATGCAGAAGGCATTTTATGTACCCTGCCCACCTGCTCATAGAGGAAGAAATAAAAGCTGTGTGTTTGTACAAAGGTCATTTTCTCTTCCCTCCTTGCAAAAGTCGCTTTGATATGTGGCATGATAAAGCTGGTGAAACTCCCCATACATCACAGGATGAAATTGTTCAGTGTCCAGCAGATGCGAGATATTTCTGAAAGAAATGATGCTTTGACTCTTCATTTTTTGTTCTTCAGACTTTTTTGACATGATGTGGATAATAAAACCTAATGCGCCTGGGATACCTCCTCCAACGCTTGCATCAAACATAAGTGCTACCATAAAACATAATTACCTTATGCTGAAGGAAAGATAGTGCTTGCCTGCCCTGTTGAACTGCTGCAACTCATTATTTTGAGGCTTACACTTTGCTAAAGGCATGAACTTCAGCAGGGAACTGAGAAAAAGCTCTTTGCCATCAATGGTACTCTTCTGCTTTGTGTCTCTACCTGCAAGCATTGAATGTGGAACTAAAAGAATCTCTCTTTTTCCTTTGTAGGTAAAAATCTCTACACCAATGAATATGTAGCGATCAAGCTGGTAAGTAAATCTGCAGGTGTTCTTAAATGACTCGTACTTAATGTTAGAAATTCAGACAAAAAGCAGCTTCCTCACTTTGGGCTTAATGCTGCTCTCACCCTCAGCTAAAGTAACTGATTTAAACTGGAGCACTATGTGGAATTCTGGTGTCCTCAACATAAGAAGGACATGGAGCTGTTGGAGCAAGCCCAGAGGAGGCCACAAGGATGAGCAGACACTGGAGCATCTCCCATATGGAGATAAGCTGAGAACATTGTGGCTGTTCAGCATGGAGAAGAGAAGCTTCTTGGAGACCTCAGAGCAGTTTCCAGTGTCTGAAGGGGGCTACAAAGATGGTGGAGAGGGATTCTTCATCAGGGACTGTAGTGATAGGACAAGGGGTGATGGATTTAATCTGAAACAGGGGAAGTTCAGGTTAGATATAAGGCAGAATTTCTTCCCTGTGAGGGTGATGAAGTGCTGGTGCAGGGTGCCCAGAGAAGCTGGGTCCACCCCATCCCTGGCAATGTTCAAGGCAAGGTTGGACAGAGCCTTGGGTAACATGGTCTAGTGTAAGGAGTCCCTGCCCATGGTGCAGAACCATGTGGTTCTGTGATTCTGAGATAAATTCTTGAGAATGCTAAAAGCAAGGAAAGAGCCCATCCCTCCATCTGATGAACGTTGTTGGTACCTAAGTGGCCTGTAGCTGTCTTACACCATTGAGAGCCTTGTTCCTCTTCCCAGGCTGGCTGCCAGGGCCCAGTGAATGGCACAGATTGCGGGTTGGCCACCTCTTCTCACTCTCTGGGTTGAGCCTTTCTGTTTGAGACTCTGCTGGTTCTCTGCAGCCTTCCCTCTCTCTAGATGGGCTGTTGTTGGAGCATTTGGTTAGAATTGTGTCACTGTGCACCCTGCTGCTCCATGGTTTTGAAGTTGAGCAAGTGGTCCAGGTAAGGAGTCTTCTACTGAGGACTGATTCAGGGCATGAAGGCACTGTGGTCAGTGGTTTGAAGTAGGAGTCTAGGGGATGGGGAAGCTCAAACTTGTAGCTCTTCTGGATATATAAAATTATAGTCCAGTAGTTTGTGTTTATGCCTTAACTTCTCCTATCTGTAAACCAAGAGTGGTCATTGGTCTCCTGGGGTTTTCAGAACTTGATGGCTTCAGCTGATGTCCTTTTTTTGCATTCGTCTGCTCCTTAATCAGAGATCCAAACCCTAGAAGCTGAAATTCAAGTTGTAATGCCATGTAATATTAGCAGCACACGCGCCTGTTTGCTCAACTGATGTTGTTTGGCAAAGTGACAGGATTCGTTCGGGTTACAGGAGGTCAGGATGGACTCGGTGCATTAATTCTGATCACGTTCCAGTGCCACAGACTTTATATCTGTAGCATTGGCTTTATATGATACGTAGTAGATGAAACATAATTAGGGCTTTGCAGCAGGGACCTGTTTTCAAGCTTGTTGGCAAATGTCAGAAGATATTCCCTAAAATAAATAAATGAATGCCTGCATTGGAGCTTAGGATGTCCTTGATACGGATCCACATCAGGAAGGAGGACTGCTGTCTGCTCGCTTTTTAGGCAGACCTGACAATAGGAAATGCTTTGTACACAGTTGAGGTATTTTATTGAATAAACAAGGTTTCTAATTTGCTTTCAGAGATAATGCCACAAAGTTATAGAATCAGAAGGCCTAAGGGATGAATAATACAGGAAAAATACAGCTTTATTTGTCCCAAGGATGCTTGTTTCTCTCCAAAGAGCACCTGCAGTGACACCTCCCAGTGCCCTGAAACCTTTCAGTCGCCATATGGCAGAACTGAATGACGTGACCTTATTGCTGCGTTAATCTTACCTGTTTTTTTCTGGTAGAATTCTTTCTCTCTCTCCACCCCCCACAAATAGCTGAATGTTAAAGCATTGGAGTGTAGCACACTCCAATTTTCTTTGCACTGTTATGATTCATGCTAAAAATTTCTGGTCCTTCACGTTTGAAGGACTGGAATTGCCATCCAGTGGCCATCCAGGCACCCGCATACCTACTCCCTTTTGGGAAGATGAATGAGGGAACAGCAGAAGAAATGGGGAGCCTGGGTTAATATTCCCCAGAAGTAAGAATTACTGAACATGCTCAGCAGCAAATATCCTTCTCTTATGTTTGTACTTAACTGTAATTTTCTTTATCATAGACTTGCAGGATGGTTTGGGTTGAAAGGGACTTTAAAGACGATGTAGTAATAATCCCTCTGCCACGGGCAGGGACACCTCCCACTACAGCAGCTTGCTCCAGGCCCTGTCCAACCTGGCCTTGAACTCTGCCAGGGATGGGGCAGCCACAGCTTCTCTGGGCAGCCTGTTCCTTGTAAATTATGCTTAAATACTTTGCGGAGTAGTGGTAGAGTAGCTGCTTTCAGTGCACTTGAAAGCAATGTTTTCTTTTATCTTTATTGTTGGACCAAGTCAGAACTCTACTCCAGGTCCTTCAAGCTGTGTGAGTTCATCTTCTGCATCTGCAGCCCTGCTGTCTCAGCTATTTCTGCTGCCTGTCATGACGTTAAAGCTGGAAAATGAGAGAATTGTGTGATGGATGCCAAAAAGTTGATCAGAAAGTGCTGTGAAATGCAGTGCTAATGTCTCATGGTTTCTCTTTGGGGGTGAGGATTGTGCTGGTGGTGGTGAATAGTGGTGGTGGTGGTGTGATTTGTGTGGTGTCACCATATAGGTTCTCATCCTGCTCTTCATCTGAACATTATTTGTTCATGTGCGTGTAGTTCATGGAGGAGTTTGTCTTCTGAAATGCCTCATTTGCTGGTTTAATCTTTTGAGGGTTTTAATACTGAGTTACACGTAGGAGGAATATCTTCCCAGCATGAAACCATTAACATAAAGATGCAGCCTGAGTGCAGGTACCACGCAGAAACCCTTCAACAACATGATGCTGTTTGTTCAAGCTGTGGATTTTGCATGTTAGGCAGTAGCAATTCAGTTATTTTTGCTACAAACACAACATCTGCCAGCAGCCTTAAGCCCTTGGCCTACAGGACAACCATCTGTTCTGGTATGATCTTCTTGGAAGCTGCCACCACTCTGGCAAGCATCCAGAGCTCCGGCTCCAGCAGCTCCTGATGCAGAAGTGGCTTGGGCTTTCTTTACCTGTTTTGTCATGAGCAAACTCATGTCATGATACATTAATCCTTCTACCTTTACCCTTCTACCTTTATCCACATAGTTTATTTGGATAAATAAACTATTCACCAAAAGGCTGAGTTCCTGTTTCCCTAAATCCTAATACAGCAGATGTCTGTATACTCTCCCTCAAGTCACCATCAACAATTATCTTGATGTGATTTATAACAAACTTGGTTTTGTGTTGCTTTATATTTGCTTCCAATACAAGTTCAGCTTTGCCTTCACAACAGTTTTCACCGTTATTTTCTAAATAGTTGGTCATATTTGACTTATAGGTTGCCCAGGGAGGTTGTGAATGCTTCATCCCTGGCAGTGTTCAAGGCTAGGTTGGACGAGGCCTTGGGTAATATGGTTTAGAGGGAGGTGTCCCTGCCCATGGCAGGGGGGTTGGAACTTGATGATCTTAAGGTCCTAACTGTTCTATGGTTCTATGATTCTATGACTTCTGAAGCTTGTAAACATCAGAAAGTTCAGAAGCAACCAGGAGCATTTGACTTGAGCAGGTGAAGAACAGCTTGGCTGGAAGTGGAATTGCCTAAATTCCTGTACAAATACTGTTCTTCCAACTTGAAGTCTTTTAACGTGGAGTTTGCACCAAATGTGGACATTAGTCTTCCAGTACAGACCAGAGGTGAAACAAGACAAAGTATTCTGTCCTCTCATGCAGATAGAAAAGTTATTCCACAGTATTAAAGGTGTTGGCTCAAACTATGTCTAAGAGCAACCTGGTCTAGTGGAAGGTGTCACTGCCCATGCTGGGGAGTTGGAACTGGGTGAGCTTTAAGGTCCTTTCCAACCCAAACCATCTTGTGATTCTATGAAGATGTTTTTCCTTCAACTCACAGGAGTGAGTGTGAATCATGAAAGACTTCTTTTCATGTTGGTCTTAGGCTCTGTTATTGGCAAGCTGCTAGATAGTGTGTTCATCAAATAGAGGGCTGTTCGGTAGGTTTTTGAAATTCAGACTGATCTTGGTACTGTTGTATGAATTTTATGTAGTTCTGAGCATGGAGCATTTATTTTTCTCAAAAGCAAGGAAATAAGCAACATCCAACAAAAACGGAGGCCAGTATTCTGCATCAGAGATGCTGGGCAGTAGGTGAATCTGTGTTACTGCCTGTCACAAGTGCACAGTTTTATTGAACGTGTGATTACTCAAACCTCTTACTTCTCTCCATGTTAACTTTATGTTTTTAGAACCTTTATAATCTTGCATTTTAACACTTTTAGGGATCACAGGCATTAAGTTTTGTGCATAAAGTGCAGATGAGTAACAGCTGAGAAATGTAATGTTTGGGGTGCGTTGCAGACTTACCCATTGTTTTCAATCTTTGTATCAAACCAGAATATTCTTGAGTGCTTTGAGATGTTTGACTGACACCTGCTACTGAGGGGGAAGACTGCCTGTGCTGCAGTGCTCTCTGTGAGCAGGGTTGGGTGTTTGCACAGCTGTGGTCTGGCTTAGAACACAGGTACATGACTCAATGCTTTACAGAAATACAGGCAGGTGACCATCAAAAACAATGTGAGCGAGCACAGTCCGCAAGGTGAACCTGGGACTTGATCTTTTGCAGCCTTGGCTTTCCTCCTCCCAATGGCCAGGGTCATTCTTCAAGGACCAGGAGCTTTGTTGAATGATTCTTGAATGAGCTTTGTATTAAATGAGGAAGTTATTTCTTCTCCAGCATGTGAGACTTGTTGCTTTTTGTTCTCGGCTTATTTAAATGATGTCTAATGATGCGTTCTGTTGACGCTTGCCACCTCTGTTGTTAGACTTGAAGTCTGGGGTGGTTTATGTCGAACCATGAAGCATTATGTACAGTCACAGATCTTCAAGTATAGAAGTTTTTTCAGACAAACTGATTTTAACCATTTTTGGTTTTTATCTTCTGTTTTAGGAACCAATAAAATCACGGGCACCACAGCTTCATTTAGAATACAGGTTTTATAAGCAACTTGGAAGTGCGGGTAAGTAAACCTTAAGCTTATAGAAAGTTTGCTGTTTCTTTGTTAAGTCAAACATACCGTCATATTTGATGTGTAACTCTGACTCGAGCTTACTGATGTGGGTAGATTCTTTCAGCCTCATACAAGTTTTGGAACAGATTTGGTCAGAATAACATGAGAATGATGCTGGGTAATTATGTGGACCTAGAAACTCAAGTTTAAGGATTGACTGGTATGGGAGTACCCATCAGAATGTCCTTGTGAAACGCAGGAGCTATCAATGGGGGGAAAGCTGTGTATAGAATGACAGACTTTAAAAAGGTGTCTTAAATCTAGGAAATTGTGTAAGAAGTACAGAGCTTTCCTAAGAAAAACCTGAAACACCGTTTTCATTGATACTTACTAAATCATAAATGTCCATAAGCCCATGGGCTCAGTGTCCTCTGTGTGACCACAGCCTACAGCAGATCTGAGAAGAGTGTAACAGGGTAAGTCCTGGCAAGCTCCCTGATTTCCCTAATATAGAGCTTGAGCTTGTGTCTAATTGTGTTTGGATTTTTCTTCCCTGAATACAGGACTGCTTTTTAAACCTTTTAGCATGTGCTATTTCCTACCAAGGATTTCCACAGCCTTGACTACCCACTGCACAAGGAAGTCTCTGTAGCAAAGACCTTCCGTGCTCCTCTGTGCCTTGATCATATATTGACGTTGGGCTTTGGCAAGCTTCCTACGTTACTGTATTTCTCTTTGCACTTTCTTCTGATTTTATTTTTCCAGTTTTCCCTGGATATGCTCACATATTACCAAATACAGAGTTGAACAGAATGAGTGATCTGTCTGCTCTGAGCTCATGATGTGCAGTGCCTGCACAGTCCTCTTGCATTTCTCCTTTCTGCTTGTTCCAATTAATTCATCTAGTCAGGTCCATAGTTCTGTGTAGCTCATCCTCTGGAGACTGGGTGCTATTGTGCTCTACATTTTGTCACTTCTTTGCTCCTTATAGGGTGCAGAATCTGGGATGTGGGAACCAAGTAAGTTGTCACCATTGGAAACACTACATTTTGTTATTATTGTTTTTAAGCAGAATTTGTCTACTGTAATAAGGTTCTTTTCTGTGTATTTTGTATTCTGGTGCTATGTACAAAGCCCCTGACCCATGGGATATAGCCCTAGAGGGCAGGGGGGCTCAAGACTGTTGGTTGGTCTTCAAGGATCACCTGCTCCAAGCTCAGGAGTGTTGCATCCCAACCAGAAGGAAGTGCAGCAGGAGGGCCAGGAGACCTCCTTGGATGGATAAGGAGCTGCTGAGGAAAATTCAAATGAAAAAAAGAGTTTTATAGAAAGTGGAAGCAAGGACAGGCGGCCTGGGAAGAGTACAGGGATGTTGTCCGGGACGCTAGGGACCAGGTTAGGAAAGCTAAGGCCCAGTTAGAATTAAACTTGGCTAGGGATATTAAGGATAACAGGAAGGGATTCTCTAGCAAAGGCTCTGACCGCACCACCCAAGTCTTGGGAGGCAGACGCTGGGACTGTGAGAATGGAGACCTTGGGCCCACTGTAGGAGAGGAACTGGTTCGAGACCATCTTAAAAATCTGAATGTACACAAGTCCATGGGTCCTGATGAAATCCATCCGTGGGTCCTGAAGGAGCTGGCAAATGAAGTTGCTAAGCCGCTGGCCATCATATTTGAAAAACCATGGCAGTCAGGTGAACTTCTCAACGACTGGAAAAAGGGAAATATAACCCCCATTTTCAAGAAGGGGAAAATGGATGCCCCAGGGAGTTACAGACCAGTCAGTCTCACCTCTGTGCCTGGCAACATCTTGGAGCAGATTCTCCTGGAAGGCATGCTAAGGCACATGGAAATCAACAAGGTGCTTGGTGACAGCCAGCATGGCTTCACCGAGGGGAAATCCTGCCTGACCAATTTGGTGGCCTTCTGTGAGGGGGCTACAGAACTGATGGACAGGGGTAAAGCAGCTGATGTCATCTACCTGGACTTGTGCAAAGCATTTGACACTGTCCCACACGACATCCTTGTCTCTAAATTGGAGAGACATCAATTTGATAGATGGACCACTCGGTGGATAAAGAACTGGCTGGATGGCCGCACACAAAGAGTTGTGGTCAATGGCTCAATGTCCAGCTGGAGACCAGTAACGAGTGGTGTCCCTCAGGGATCGGTGTTGGGACCGGTCTTGTTCAACATCTTTGTTGCTGACATGGACAGTGGGATTGAGTGTGCCCTCAGCAAGTTTGCCGATGACACCAAGCTGTGTGGTTCGGTTGATCCGCTGGAGGGAAGGAATGCCATCCAGAGGGACCTGGACACGCTTGTGAGGTGGGCTGATGCCAACCTCATGAAGTTTAACCATGCCAAGTGCAAGGTCCTACACCTGGGTCGGAGCAATCCCAGGCACAGCTACAGGCTGGGCAGAGAAGAGATTCAGAGCAGCCCAAGGAGAAGGACTTGGGGGTGCTGGTCGATGAGAAAATGAACATGAGCCGGCTTCAGTGTGCGCTTGCAGCCCAGAAAGCAACCGTATCCTGGGCTGCATCAAAAGGAGCGTGACCAGCAGGTCGAAGGAGGTGATCCTGCCCCTTTATTCTGCTCTCGTGAGACCTCACCTGGAGTATTGTGTGCAGTTCTGGTGTCCTCAACATAAAAAGGACATGGAACTGTTGGAACAAGTCCAGAGGAGGGCCATGAGAATGATCAGGGGACTGGAGCGCCTCCCGTATGAAGATTGGCTGAGAAAGTTGGGGCTGTTCAGCCTGGAGAAGAGAAGGCTGCGTGGAGACCTCATAGCAGCCTTCCAGTATCTGAAGGGGGCCTATAGGGATGCTGGGGAGGGACTCTTCATTAGGGACTGTAATGATAGGACAAGGGGTAATGGGTTAAAACTTAAACAGGGGAAGTTTAGATTGGAGATAAGGAGGAAATTCTTTCCTGTTAGGGTGGTGAGGCACTGGAATGGGTTGCCCAAGGAGGTTGTGAATGCTCCATCCCTGGCAGTGTTCAAGGCCAGGTTGGACGAGGCCTTGGGTGTTATGGTTTAGAGTGAGGTGTCCCTGCCCATGGCAGGGGGGTTGGAACTTGATGATCTTAAGGTCCTTTCCAACCCTAACTATTCTATGATTCTATGATGCTGCCACTTAATTCCAGTTCCCTGTGTTTTTGAGACTGACACCCCTGTAGTAAATCAAATGTAGGCTCACAGAACAAGTGATACACTTAATTCTGCTCTTTGCTTCTTCCTGAAGTTCTGTTGGTGCTTGTCATCTCTGTGATACTCTGTGCATGTCTTGTGAATGAAAACCAATCTTTTTCCTTACCTGTTGGCTTCTTACCACTCTTTAAAGATGTTACCAAGGAGTTTTAAAACTGATAAATGTTGGGGCCTGGCTTTGTTTTGGCTTCCTTCTGTTCCTAATGAATCTTAACTTTTCATTGTAGAATCCCAGACTGGATTGAGTTGAAGGGACCTTAAAGCTCATCCAGTTCCAACCCCTGCCATGGGCAGGGACCCTTCCACTGGAGCAGCTTGCTCCAAGCCCCTGTGTCCAACCTGGCCTTGAGCACTGCCAGGGATGGGGCAGCCACAGCTTCTCTGGGCACCCTGTGCCAGCGCCTCAGCACCCTCACAGGGAAGAGCTTCTGCCTAAGAGCTCAGCTCAGTCTCCCCTCGGGCAGGTTCAAGCCATTCCCCTTGGCCTGTCCCTACAGGCCCTTGTCCCAAGCCCCTCTCCAGGTTTCCTGCAGCCCCTTTAGGCACTGGAGCTGCTCTAAGGTCTCCCCTTCAGGAGCCTTCTCTTCTCCAGGCTGACCCAGCCCAGCTCTCTCAGCCTGGCTCCAGAGCAGAGCTGCTCCAGCTCTGTGATCATCACACAGCATTTACCCACGCAGATCATTTCTGCCCTGTCTAATGCTGCACACACTAATGGAAGTTTGAGTATTCTGCCATCAGACATGGACATCTTGCTTTCAAAGTCTCTTTTCCGTTCATTCTGGAGGAGTTGCTGACTGTCATCTTCAGCCTCTTTGCCAGTATTTGTCAATAGGTTCTTGAGAAGCCTCATGAACAGCATTACTTTTATTTCTCTCTCTGTGTGGTCCCATGGGCATCACCAGCCCAGCTTTGATAATCTATTGAATGCTGTTAGAAGCTCTTGGGCTACAGCTTTCCTACAACAATGGGCAATAGGCCAGGAGCTCGGGTGGAGCATGTGAGCCACATCTCTTGCCTCTCCATGAAACTTGGAAGCTGAACAGAATAAATTGTGGTGGAGTTAGACTGCTAGGAGCAGGGAGATGTGACTTGGTGTCTGCACATCACATGGAGAATGAGGGGAGGGCTGTCTGTGAAAACAGATAGGTGTTAAATGTGTGCTGACTTTGGGGAAATAGATGGGTCTGTTCTCAGTGACATTGTTAATGGTTCTTGCTTAGAACTGCTTGAACAGACAGCCTTGAACTTCCAGTAAGCAGGACTGGTTCTTGAAATTATCCTAGACTCATCAAATGAAGACTGAGTGTCCAAAGGCCTGGTGTGTGTGACTCAGAGGAGAACAACACTAGTGTTGCCTGTGACATACTGTTCAATACATTCGCCAATTCATCTTGCCAAATAACGTGGCTGACTGCAAACCTCCCACTGTCAGCCTAAAAAGTAGGACTAGTAACAGCATTGCTGTAACGCCACAGGAGCAGTGCGGTCCTCTTGTTAGTGCAACTGCTGCCTTCAGCTGCACCTACAACCAGATGGTCTCAGTCAGCAGATTTGCTATGTCAAAATTGTCATCACCTGCAGCATTGGAAGGAAAATTCGTTTTTTCCTAAAGAGAACGATTTTAATGGTGATTTCCTTCTTCCTGGATGTTCAGAAGAAATGTTTTTAAACTCTTGGATACTCTTGGATACTGATCATAGGCAAACTTGGGTTGGAAGGGACCAGCCTGCTTGGCCATGGATCAAGTCTGCTTGGCCACAGCCTGAAGCTGCTCCAGGGGAGGTTTAGAT